TTTTTATTTTAGGGGATTAGGAGACTCGACTGGACAGACACCACTGGACCAGGCAAGCCGAAAGGAAAGAACCGAAACTGAAGTAGTTTTTTTTTTTAAAAATAAAACGGCGTCGTTTTGAGCGGTCTGGCTGGCCAAAAAAATAAACCGGGCAACCCACTGAACCGGGTTGCCCGGTTTAACACCGGGTTTTTCCGGTTAAACCGGTTTTTCACCGGTTCGTTAGACCACTGGTCCAATAATTAAACTAGACCAGACTACAGACCGGTTTACCGGTTTTCCGGTTGAACCGACATGTCCGGTCCGGTTTTTTTTCCTTGGTTTTCATTCTGTCCAGATTTTTTTTTTTGGAAAAAGTTAAATTGTTGATTTGGCGGCAACTTTTTGTTTTTTGGGTCAATATTTAGTGCCATCTTTACTTCAAATCCACTCTTGGATTAATATTTGAACCTCCCTTTTTTTGTTTCAGAGCTTTTAGAAAAGCAAAGCATAAAATAAAAGCAGGTCCGAGTCCCGACCAGTATTTTTATTTTTTGATAACATCTTTCTTATTTAAAGAATAACAATCAAATAATTTCTTCTATGCGTCAGCTCTGTGAGCATCAAATTTCTTTGACTTCAGATTTCTTGCTGAGAATAAGGGAATCTTATGTTTTTTCATACATTTTATGGGACTGCTGAATTTATTTATTTATTTATTTTCTATGGAAATCTATCTCTTCAGGTCATTTTATCTCATTTTATAATTTTAAATGAGAGCTGTGGCCTCGCATCAGACCTAAATTATTTAAATGGCTCGTGTGTGTGTGTGTTGTATGTATATTTGGATGAAGATTGAAGACTCCATTAATATAAGCAAGTGAGATGAACATGCCAGTCATTCGGTTGCAGAAGCAGAACTTAAATAGAGTGATGAAGGAACATGAAAGAGCTTTTATGTACACATACATGATGAGTGAATTTTGAATATCCAGAAAAGAATGATCACACATAACAAGTTCAAGTTTATTAATCATGATGCAGCTACCCAATGTGAATATATAGTCAAATATTCCCTCTCATGATTTAATTTACACTGCATCTGATTTTTAATGTAAGATTTTCTTAACTAATTTGAATAATTTAAGAAAATTAATTAATTCAGCTTTTGTTTGTTAAAAAAAATTATTTACATTGGTTTCTTGAAAATGTCTTCTTATCAGGCTTCTTCTAGTGAAAAATGAGAGGTTTTACATGTGAGCGCGCGCGTATGTGTGTGTGTCTCTCTCTCTATATATATTAATTATTTTATTTATTTATATTAGTCACTAAGTGGAGGATTAGTTATATTTTTAAGCATTGGTTATCTTTGAAATTTCCACGAATGCATTTAATTATTTCAGGATTTGCTTCTTTTGTTTTTTCAGTTCATGCTTGTGAATACGGACAAATTTTTCTAAAAAGTACATTTACAGATAATGTCAGTAATTTGACTATATTTTTATTTTAGTAAAATGGTTTAGATTTGATTTTAAATATAAGTTTTTAATCCTTATATTTATTATTGTTTTTCTAAACTATCCCTATGTTGCAGATGTTAAATGAGTAGATTCAATGCATAAAGGGCCGGAGCAGGTAGCTCAGGAAGAAGTATTGAGGGGGTGTTTGGGAAACCCAAAACTATGGTTTCAGAAGCACTTTTCCGCAAAACGAGGTAATTTCCTCCACATATTTATTTCGTAATCCGTAAAAGCATTTCTGAAACCATGGTTTGGTTTCTATCCAAACACCCCCTGAATATGACACTACTAGTACTTGTTTTGGCCAAAAAAAAAAAATCCAACACTACTTGCGTACCCTAATTTGGGATCTAATACGTTATCTTTTGTTTTTAAGGTCCTAAAAACTTCATTTCATGTTTATAAACACACACACATATGTAGAAGTCGTGACAAAAAATAAAAAATATAATTTTTATTTTTTAAACTTTCCCCAATTATTAATTTACTTTGTGAATTTCAATTGAAAAGAACTTGGTTTTTACAATTGTCCCACTCATTATAAGTTTTATCATAATTTTTATTTTAATTTTGAACAACTTAATCCTTACAATTCATTAAGCAAGAACAATTCAATTCTTGTTATTCTTAGCTTGATAAATTACAATTAATAATTTAAACAATTAAAAATTGACTAGAGTTTGTGATGCAATTCATCCTTTTGAAGATATAATTGATTACGCTAGATTTTTGTTCCACGGGGATCCATAGGTAAAATTCATACTTAGAAAAGCAACCTCTATTACTGATTATTCAGCTAGATTGTCTTGTGGTCTTGATAATAATTTATGTATCTTCAATCATCATTCACTTCCTTATTAAGTGGCGTCAAATGATGAAGGAAACTAGATGTTGATCTATTTGTTTTTGTTTGTAAGTCCCGTTATGAGTAGATGATATATTGATATTCAATATTAACTCAAAAAAATTTAAAAACTAAAGATTATATTTTCAAAAAAAAAAGAATATAAACATAAACTAAATTTATAAGAGTGAACATATAGATATAGATAGATAGATAGATAAATGATATCAACTTGTGGTTTTTTTTTTTTTAACCAAGGAATTTGGATGGGTTAAAATGAGGAGAATAGTAGTGAGATGGAGTGATGATTAAGGATTCGCCCAGCGAAGAAGAAAGGGAAGGGCATCATTATGCAATTAACCAAATTGTGATTGTGTGTTCGAAAGTTGAAACAACATGGGCATGTCTACGGGGTTGTCTAGTTTAGTTAGGGATGATTACAGAATTTTTGTTTTGTTAGGTGGCCCCCACCCCCACCACATGTGACCTCTGGTCCCACCCTGCTTGTCACCTTCCATTCCTTCCTCTTATTCTTCCTCCTCCTTTGTCTCTCTTCTTCGCTATCGCTTTCTAACGTCATCTCCGATTCTAATTATAAAAGTTAGTTAATTAATTTAAAGAGATTAAAAAAATAAATTAAATTAGTTATTTGTGATAAATAGATATTGTCTTTCCTAAAATATTATTCCTAATCAAGTGTATTGATTAGAACTACTATTATTAGAAAGATTACCTTAAAAAAAATGTATAAATATGAGAGACAAAATATATTAGAATCTTATATTTAGGATCAAAATAAAAGTCAAATAAAATCTTATATTAAGGACTGAAAGTAGTATTTCAACTATGTATAATTGCATCATTACATAATCTACTACTCTCTCTTGCCTTGAAATGCACTGGGGTTAAACAACGCTTAAAAATTAATTTATTTGTTAAAAAATATATGTTGATCGTCCTAAGATACCTATTTAAATTATTTACACGGGAAGCTACTCTCTCTCTCTGTTTTTTTTTTTATTAAGAACCATATATGGATAACTCAACATGCAGAATTTAGAGAGAAAAAATAGAGACACAAGAGAAAGAGTAAATTAAAATACTTCTCTGATCTTAAATATAAGACTCATTTTGTAGTATGAAAATGAGTTTTAGATTCAAAACCGGGAGTATTAAACTAGTATAGCTCTAGTTGCTGTGGTTTGTACGCCTAACAGCTGGATTCAGTTTTTGTCAAATAAGAAAACGCCCAATATAACGATATTTCCTGCTTCATTGGCTGGTTGCTTCCTTGGAGAAGTGGTCAGCATGTTATTATTAACTTAAAACGTGTGTTAGGTTAATTAATAAATGATCCAAGACCCCTAATCATCTCTTCATTATTTGAGCAACCCCGTCTTGCAAGTGCCCGTTATATAATATTCCCAGCCTCACAACCACACATCGCCTTTCCCATCCTCCCAGAGGTTTTCCCTTTTCCCCTTTTTGCGATCACAATGGACATTCCTATATTCAATTTCATCATATGATCATCATTTCCCGCCCAATTAATGTAAATGTCCATTCATGAATAATTGAGTGTACTAGCTACGTTCCTCAATATAAAATCTGGTTGAGAATCATATTTAGTCCTAAATATAATATCTCAATTTATTTTACCTCCCGAATTTATATATTCATTTTCTAAATTATCCTATTGATTATACATATTAAAAGGATCTCCATTTAAAGGTAATCATGATTAAAATGATACTTTAGAATATTCAACCTGTATTTGTCATAAATAATTAATTCAACAAACTTTTTTAATATATTTGAGTCAGAAAACTAGTTTTTATATCAAGAACCGGAGCTAATATGCACAAACGGACTCTTACATTTTTCTTTATAATATTTTTCATGCCCACCGTGTTATTAATTATTTCTCTTTGGCCACTCACTCTATAATAGTACTACCTCCGGTTCTAATTATAAGACCCAGTTGACTAATTTGAGGAGATTAAGGAAGTAAGTTAAGTTAGTTATTTGTAACAAATAAGTGTTGCCATTCCTAAAATATCATTGCTAATTAAGTGTGTTGGTTAGAACTATAATTATTAGAAGGACTATCTTGGGAAAAAATGCATAAATATGAGAGACAAAATGGATTGGGGTCTTATAATTAGGACCAAACTAAAAGTCAAACGGGGTCTTATATTAAGGACCGGAGGTAATATAATTTAAGGAATGGTAACTTATTTCAGGCTCTTTAGAAATGCATGGGGCTAGCTAGTTCTCTTAAGGATACTGTGCCTTAACGTTACTATATATATTTTTTGAACGAAGACGACTCATACTCTAATAGAGCTTCACATTATGCCTAAATTAATACAGTAATTTTTATTTTTTTTGAAGTATCCTAACGCAACCAAACCAGAAGAAGCTCCTCTCACCATGTAAATTAGAAACAAAAAAGAGAGTAAAAATTTAAAAGAACTGCATGCGGGTGCCAGATTAGAGGTCTGTGAGTTAAGGTCAAGAAATGTAATTTTGCGTAAAATTATGACTTTTTCTATAACTCGATTTAGTCTTAATTCTTTGCCCTCCCTACTTAAACCCACTCACACCCACGTTCCTCATCCTCCGTCTCTCTCTTCTGACAAGATCACATGCAGATGTAGACATATCCAGACCCACAAATGCTCATCCCACATGGATTCGCGATATTGAGAACTCACCCCCACATTTCTCACCCTCTTCCTCCTTCCCTTCTCTCCCTTAACATAATTTTTTTTTAATTGTTATTGTTATAAACAAGCCAGCTCTCCCCAGACTGGCTACGCATTTTGATGTTGATAATAATAATAATAATTCTGCCTTCCATTTGTTCTCGAACCAGAACTCCCAGACAATTCTTCTTGGATCTGCAAACATTCGCTTAGCGTCTCTGCATTGGTACTGTTAACTTCTGTTCCTCCTTTTTTTCCCTTTTCCTCTCCTTCTTTCTGCTTCTCCATGGGGTATTGGGCCCCCGCCCTTTTTTCTGGTGCCTCGTTTTGTGGTTATTGTCATTTAAGGTATTGTCTGGTTCGTTTTGCGAAACCCATTAATGTTTCCCTTCAAACTGTGATGGGAATTGATTTAGCTTTCGGTGATACATTATTGTAATTACTGAGATTGGGTGAATCTTTTGGGAGAGCTGAAAAGGGAATGTTCAGTTGTCGCTGGAAAATTTCGAGGTTACAGTTCGTTTGGCAAATATACTCTTTGTTTTTTGTTTTCTTTTTGGTCTTTGGTTTTGTTCTTACAGTGTTCAGAAATGAGGAGTCAACTCTGCTTTCTTCTGTTTATCAGGGTTCAGAAACTAGGAGTCGTGGCCTCGACCGAAAAATTTGAGGGGGAAGGAAGAGGAAAGGAGACTCATTTATTTACCTTTAAGAAGGCTGGATTTAATTTCTGGATGGTGGTGATCTCCATGAGCTGTTTAAAGTTACGCATTCAATTTTGTGTAAATGGAGTCAAAATCCTATCTCAGAAGGGTCTTACTGTGCTGTATGGGTAGACTTGACAGTAAATGATAAATCTATCACGGAGTGGGGGGTAATTCTTTGGGTAGTTGAGGAGGGTTGAGTATATTTAATAACAGGTGGGTATGGCTGCAAAACTCCTGCACTCTTTAGCAGATGACAACCCTGATTTACAGAAGCAGATAGGATGCATGTCCGGGATTTTGCAACTTTTTGATCGGCATCATATTCTTACTGCCCGACAGATTAACCAGAAGAGGCTTCCTCCTGCTAATCGTCCAAGTATGCCCCACCTAATTCAGTTGTTTATTTTTTTTTTTTTCTTTTTTTTTTCCTTCGTAAGTCTCGGAATGATGATCATTTGAGCTGTGTTAACCTGCTCATGGCACTGATTTGGGACATTGAGGTTAACCTGCTGCATTTCCAAATTTATTGCAAACAACAGATTTTTTTTCTTTTCCCCAAGGGCTTAGATTTTTAGATCTTCGATCTCTTTCCTGTCTCTTCCAAACTTAGGTTTTCCTCGAAATCTTCTGAATTTTCTTTGCTTTCAAAGGAGAGTGCAGCATGTAGGTATATGATGAAAGATTATTCAGCAATGATCACGTTTGAATTTAATTTTGAGACTTTGGGTTGGAGAAGATGTGAACTTCTCTATGAATTGGTCAGCTTATAGTGTTTTTTTTTTTGCCAACCTTATACCGCACCATCTAGTGTTGGTTCTTGCTCTTATGCTTCAGACAAGTGCATCACTGTTTTCACAACTCATGCTTCTCTAATTATAGGTGGAAACTCTCACTTTGCTAACGGCATCCTGGAAAAAGATTCTAGTAGTGCAAGGCAGCAGCAAATAACATCTGTACGTATTTTCCTCCCTTATCTTTGATGGACTAGCTATTATTTTACAGTTCAACTAGATAAGTTGTCCTGTGCACTGCATACAGTTTGAGTAATGAGTTGCATTGATCATAACTTGTAAATAGTGTGGATTGTTATAGGTTTTTTTTTGTTTTTTTTGTTTTGTTGGTATAACTCAAAAAGTATCCTCAAGCCACTTTAGGCTTGAGACTAATCTTTATCAGGTTGGGAGTGTTAAGGTTAAAATCCTCCCAACAAGTGTGTTTCTTGGGATTTGAACTTGTGTTTTCCTCCTTACAGGGGTAAGACCACTTATTATCATCTTAACCAACAGCTTTTTGGTGGATTGTTATAGATTTTATAACATATAATTGAAAAAATTTGGATAAGGCTCTTAACTGAGGCATGGACCTTTTTTAAAATTATTTGCATGTGCCAAAAACCAGTGATTTATTACCCACAGCTCGTGAATCAATTTGACTACTATCTAAATGTTAAAGGCTTGAGAATTTTGAAACATCAATATCTTCCTCAGATCATCTTAAGCATTCAAAATCTAGAAACTTTCTTGTTCTGGATGCATCTTTCTTCTCGTTTTGGGCATGCTTCTTACTATCTGGAACAAACACAAGAATTTGCTCTGAACTGAACCCATGCAACTTGTAGAATTTATTGCAGGATGTGAGCCCAAACAAGGGCTTTGGTGAGAAACAAAGGATATCCACAGAGTCATCAAGAGTCTCTTTCTCGTCTTCATGTTCATCATCCCTGTCCTCTCTGGATTGCAGAGCTCAAATGGAGGGTTCCTTTGATCGCATTATTTATCCTGAAACTCCTTCAAGGGAACCAGTTATGAACCAAACAACTGTCTCTCCCCATTTAGGAATGCAATCCCTTGACCTGAGGGATGTGGTGAAGGATTCTATGTATAGGGAGGCCAGAGGACTACCGATGAAGAAGGCTACTGCTGAAGAAGAAGCTGTCTTTCATGCTGTGAAGCACAGGGACTCCCCGAGACCACTTCACCTGTCCAAATCTGCTGATGGATCTTGTGGAGTTGGAATTGATGGGAAGCAAAGTGTGCCTGTTGATGTAAAAGAGTCTCTCAGAGTTCTTGCTAAACTTAGAGAAGCACCATGGTATTATGGTGAAGCCAGAGAGATTCCAAGATCATCAAGTGAAGTAAAAGATGGACACTGGCATTTGATCTCAAGGGATGCTCCTCGGTTTTCTTATGATGGAAGAGAAATAAGTCGTCTATCTTTTGAATCAAGGGATACGATCAAAGGCCCACCAAAGCTAAAAGAGCTGCCTAGACTTTCACTGGACAGTAGGGAAGGCTCATGGTGCACTTACAGTGCTGATTCAAAACCCAATCTCCTATCAAGGAGCCTTGGAAGTGGCAACTCCACCTCGGATGATAAAATGGGTAGTTTACCACAGTCAACCCAGAGGCGACCTCCTAGTGTTGTAGCAAAATTGATGGGCTTAGAAGCATTGCCTGATTCCTATATGGCTGCTGATACTCCATTGAATTTGGGCGGAAATTTCTCAGCTCAACATGATACTCAGTTTCCAAAATCATCAAAAAATGGACTGATCAAGCCTCTGAAAGTTTTTAATTCCCCAAGAAGCTCATTGAAAGACCCAACCTCACCACGACGAAAGAACCCTGATTTAGTTATGAAACCTATTTCAAGTTCGAGATTTCCAATTGAACCGGCACCTTGGAAGCAGCAGGATGGAAATCAGAGCTCTCAGAAATCAAGTTTGAAGGCCATGAAAGCTCCAACAAGAACACCAGATTCATTTCCTTCAGTTTATAGTGAGATTGAGAAGAGATTGAAGGATCTTGAGTTCAAACAATCTGGAAGGGACCTCCGAGCACTCAAACAGATACTGGAAGCAATGCAAGCAAAGGGATTGTTAGAGACCAGAGAAGAAGAACAAGCTGTGGATGATGAAAGTCAAAGAGACAATGGAACAAATACTGTGAGTCTGAGTCAAAACTCTAGATCAGTAAGGCAACAAAGCCCACATAGCAATAATTTTCTGTCTTCCTCAAGGAGGGTAGCAGACTCAAGGGCTTGTGAGTCTCCAATTGTGGTCATGAAACCAGCAAGGCTTGTTGATAAAACTGGAATTTCTGCTTCCTCAGTAATTCCTGTTGGCGGACTTTCTAGTTTCCATAAACTTGACAGTGTTGCAAATGAAGATAAGAAAAGAATTTCAGCTTCCAGTCGAATATCAAAAGATCACTCTCCTAAAAACAACCGCAGGGATACTACTGCCAGTTCCAATGATAGGAAAAATGGTAGCGTCAACACTATAAAATCTGCACAATCTCAATCTAGGTCTCAACAAATTTCAAAAGAAAATAGCTTAAGCTCAATAAAGAATTCAGGATCTGTGAGTCCAAGAATGCAACAGAAGAAGCTAGAGTTTGAGAGGCGATCTTGTCCACAAACTCCACCATCAGATTCAAATAAAGCCAGAAGGAAATACAGTAAACAAGCCACAGATTCAGGTTCGCCAGGTGGAAAACTGAGACCAAAATCCCCTTGCTTACAGCAGAGTGATAACCCACTGAGTCTGATAAGAAATGAAACAAGAACATCAAGTTGCCAAAAGGATGAAATATTTGTGGAATCTGATAGTATCACTGTCTCAGACTCAAATATGGATATGGAAGTCAGCAGCAGTTTACAATCTCCTCAAACTAATGATAGCCGGTGCCCCTCCATGAAAACTGTGAAGCAGCCAATTTCTGGATCAACGCAGAAGGTAGATGCTCCTTGATCTTTCTTTTTATTCAAGCTTTATGATTGAATTTATGGTGACAAACACTAATTTGCTACTAAATCTTCCAATTATAAGAACATGTATATTTTTCATTTTTTTATTTTCAGAAATCAATTCCGAGGTTGCACGAGGATGAGTCAGTTGCTGATATTGCAATAAATTCCCAAGAACATCCTAGTCCTGTCTCAGTCCTCGATGGCTCTGTGTACAGAGATGATGAGCCTTCTCCTGTAAGGCAGATTGCTGATACTCCCAAAGGTAGAGTTTCTGTCTTCGACTCAAGTCTAAAGAGATGGGAAATCAAGAGTGAAACCATCCTATTACAATACCTGATAAAGTGCAGTGAAACTGTAGGAAAAATTCTTGTTCAATGAAAATCAGATTGTTATCAAGATGGATAAAAAATTTTTAAACATTAGGAATCTTAATCTCTTTGTTATTAACTGTTGACTGAAGGAATGAATTGAGAATCTTCCTTCTGAGGGACTCAACAAGTTGAGACTATTAGTTACTTGTCCTTGTACCGGCACTTCGAGAACAAAATAATATGTGAATGTCATTTTGGTACATATAAATATGGTGTTACTGAAAAATGCTGTCTTCAAGTCACATACAAAGTGCATATATGTTCAAAATAAATAAAGAAGTACTTAAGATATTCTATGTGGGTACTCTTTTTGAACCAGTTGAGTCACAAGCAAAGTACATGTATGTGAAGAATTTGTTGATGGCAATGATGTTGACCTCTAGGAACTTTCTTTTGATGCATGCATGTAGAAGTAACTGAAGTTGTGACGGGCATGACACCAATGTGTTTTAGCTTCTGTCTGTTTTTTCCTACTTAGCCTGTGCCAAAAAAATTATCTAAAGTAATGACGAAAGAAAGAAATTTGAATAATTGTCAGTTGACCCCAAGAAAAAGAAGAATAATTGTCATCTATGATAGTCTAGAAATGTTATGATGATTTGTTCTGTCTACCCTGTTTCATTGTAATATTAAATGCTACAGCTGATGATGCCCAAGAGTGTGAAGGAAATGAGAATGAAGATTGGTGGAACCCTGCGGATAAATTAGTTTACAGTGCAGGATCTGGAGAGATCAATCGCAAGAAACTGCAGAGCATAGATCATCTTGTTCAGAAGCTTAGGCGGGTGAATTCCAGTCATGATGAATCTAGAAATGATTACATTGCTTCCCTCTGTGAAAATACAAATGCTGACCAAAGATACATATCTGAAATATTATTAGCTTCAGGCCTCCTACTGAGAGATCTGAGCTCTGAGCTGCTGACATTTCAACTTCATCCTTCAGGCCATCCCATTAACCCTGAGTTATTTTTCGTGTTAGAGCAAACCAAGGCAAGTAGTTTCATTCCGAAAGAAGAATGTGGTCCAGGAAAAGTTGCTTGTTCAAAGCTGAATGCAGAGAAATTTCACAGGAAACTCATATTTGATGCTGTGAATGAGATTCTTGGCGTGAAGTTAGCTTTAGTTAGCTCTTCTCCTGAACCTTGGGTGAAGCCTAGCAGGCTTACCAAGAAAAGCCTCGGTGCACAAAAGCTTCTTAAAGAACTGTGCTTTGAGATAGAAAAAATCCAATTCAAGAAGCCTGAAAGCAGTCAAGAACATGAAGACGGTCTCGGAAGGATACTCTCAGAAGATGTTATGCATGGCTCAGAGAGTTGGATAGATTTC